TGTGACCAAGGAAGAAATCAAGATTCGCGAGGCGGTGGAGGCGTGGAACTTGGCGGATTGGGAGGCGTGGAGGTTTGCGAGGGCGTATTTGGCGCGTAAAGAGATGGAGAGGGAGAAGTGGGCGGAGGAAGAGGAGAAGTATGCCGGGGGGATGGGGAGTGAGAGAAAGAGGGGGAAGAGCGGGGGGTGGTTTGATTCGGATTAGTTTGGAAGATGAGCTGGTATGAGTATGAGTGTTGATGTTGATGTTGATGTTGATGTTTATACGGATGATACCTACCTTATGTGAATGTATAGAATTAAGATTCAATAACTGAAGCTTCGGAAGGAAGTGGATATCAACATGGTGGTTATGGTATGTGTTATGGAACTTGTAATTGTACATACAGTTAATTTATCGTTTTTGACGTGTGATTTGTGTTTGGGAGAACGGTGAAGAGAAGAAGAAAGAAAAAAGGAAAGAAAAAGAGATAAGAAGGGGATGATGGGAGGGTACTTAATACCTACCTACCGTTTACCATTGACGATTGAACAAGACTTCATTGCTAGCTAGCTACTTGTATACAATTTACCCTTGACACCGTCCGTGATCTAGAGACCAGCTACCTACCTACTAGTTGCTTATTCACTACTTCCCTACCTACCTACCTACCTACCTATATCTGCATTGAAGACATTCCGATATCAACACTCCATGCGCTACACTCTATACAGTGCACTCTATACACTGCACTCTAGCTCTGTACTCTATACACTGCACTCTAGCTCTGTACTCAGCTCTACAAGATCTTTTCGAGACGTACCATGTCCCGCCAAATATACCAGCCTAGAGGTATCAACCTGTAAACCTATCAGCCTGAAAACTTGTAAGCTTATTTGCCTGGAAACCTGTAAGCCTGGAAGCCTATCAACCTGGAAACCTCAGGAAACCTAGAAGCTGGAAACCTAGAAGTGTACCTCTACCTACCTAATGAATTCATTCAACTACCTAAAATGGGTGACGGATCCGTAGAATACCTACCCTAGGTAGATGAATAATAAAGGTAGGGAGGTACTGGAGTCGTGTGAGGTTTGTTAGGTAATCACTGGAGGGATAGAAGAAGCCGTTAAGTGTCCGTGTGTTTGTTGGTTCCGTACATAACCTACCTAACTACTACCTACCTTACCAAGGTAGTCAAGTTTAGGGGTTCGATGATGAATATAGGGGCGGAGAGGATGGATAGATGGATGGATGGATAGTGATTGGAGTAATTAGACAGGTACAGTGGGAGCAAGGCAACCTACTATCGACAGTGCATGCATGTATTGGCCAGTTGATGTGGTAACTGAATTCAATAAGTGGAGGAGCAGGAAGGGTTGGTGGAATAATGTGGTATCGAGTAAGTCACCTCGAGAGTAGCTACCTAGGTAGGAGGTAGGTAGGGACAATACCTCTGAATACTGGACACTAGACATGACTGGAAGTCTCGACCAGTCATTTACCTAGGTAACTATCCCTTCGCTTTCATAACTAACTTCCAACCCATCCTATGCACCTTTTCAAAGGGCACAACTCCAGGGGTAGACAAGGCCTTGGCCAAGCGACGTAGACATACTTTACCTACCACATAGGTAGCTCTACATATACTCCAAACTATCACTCCCGTCACTCTTCAATGCCAGTCCCTTACGTTCGTTGTCTCGTCCATCTCTTTCATCTGGTCCATCTCTTCCATACCTATACATCTTACTGTCCCTTCCATTATTTCCACCCCCTCTATCAAAGATCACCTAACCAGGGGCAATTCTCCACGAGAATAGTCCGGAATCCGGATAATCAAACAACCTACCTAGGTATCTATCGTCAGCACCCAGCAAAGCAAGCGCAAACGGACGTCCTCAGTCCGCTAATCCATTTATTCCTAAGCTCCTGCCTTCTGGGCCGTTCGGGGCGCGATTGATTAGCTTGGTAGTCGTAGGTAAGGTACCTAGGTACTAGTAGTCTAGACTACCTAGGTAGTTGATGGTTACTGCCTGGCTGAGAAGCTTCCTTCCACTTCTGACTTTTGACTTCTAACTTGTAACTTTTAATTTCCGGCTTTCGACTTCCGACTTCGGACTTCGGACTTTCAACTTGCGTAGGTAGATAAAAACTACCTAGGTAGGGCTTTCTGTTCGTCCTGACTCTTCTTTTCTTTCTTTTTCCTGTCAATGGCCAGTCGGAGCCAGCACGTCTTTAAAATTCGATTCTTACCTATTCTTGAGTTATCTGTTCTTCACCTGCCGCTATGTTTTTGACGGGAAGATGCCAATGCCAATGCCAACACTTGACCTTGTGGAGATTATTCAGTGAGAGTGAGTGAGTGAGTGTTGGATCCAGTTTCCTCTTGTGGATCTGTCTGTCTGTCTATTATACTACTGCTTAGATCGTTAAAGGCGGTAGCTGGAGTACGTATGTACAGGTATCTAGTTTGCTGTGTTCCCGGATCTCAAATACCTAACGTAGCGTCTATACCTATCTTTCCATGTCAGTAGATGTAGGTACGAGGAACCTCACTCACTTAATCCCAACCTGAGCTACCTAGGTACTGATGCCGCGCGATTCCTTCTCCCTTCTTCCTTCCTTCTTCGACCACTTCGGCAGCTACCTACCTACCTATCCACCCACCTACCTTACTACCGAATCCGGTCCACGCAAGCAGTCAAGACAAGACAAGACAAGTCAAGTCAAGTCAAGTCAAGTCGAATAGGTAATGTCAAGGAGAGTCAAGTCCAGCTCCAAGTCCCTCCCGTTCCAACCCAGCTGGACCCACCGCCACCGGAGCCGGCGGAACCGCACAACGACACACAACACACGACACCCAGGTCTACCTACCTGGCAAACAAACAATAAGCTCCGCCATCCAAAACGCTCCTTAGAGGTACATAGATAGGTTAGTTCGAGTCCTCGTCGGCGCAAATATAACACCACACGCACTATACACCACGCAGCCCGCACGCAGCCCGCAAGCATCCAAGCTATGTCCCCTGCGCCACGGACGTCCTTACCTTACCATTTTCATCACTCACCCACGTGGTTTCTATCGAGACGTGCAAGGCTGTATTTACCTACCTACCTTTTTCCTTTGCTTTGCTTTCCTTGCTTTATTAGGTAGGTATGGTTAGGTAGATAGGTACCTACCTACCTACCTACCTACCTACCTACCTTCATGCAACCAAACACACTGGCGCTTCGCTTCGCTTGTTTGATACTTACATACCTTACCTACTTCTACCTAGGTAGTGAGCCTAGTGAACCTAGTCTACCTACGCACGTGGTTGTGGACGAAGAACCGGAGCAAACGGCCGGGACCGAAATGGCCATGTGCAGGCAGGCAAGCCAAGATTTTATTTCCCTTTCCCCTGTCATCTTCTTCTGGGGGACAATCTACGATTCCTACGACTAGGTAGTCTCTCTTTTCTCTAGTTCCTTCTGTCTTGGACTATCATTGGTCTTCAGACCCTTTCAGCCGTGGTTTTAAATCGTCATATCCCATATCTCGGATCACACATAAAACATAGAACACCTAACAAGTTACTTTTACGCGTCACTAGGTAGTCTACTGCCCCTCGCTGACTTATTGAAGCCCCCATGTCACTCACTGCTTCCCCTCTCTGAATTCCTCTATGTTGCGGATGAGAATCCATCGTGGCCCCCTGCTGTCCATCATTGCCTTGAACGTAGTAAACGGTCTGTCGTCCCTTGGACTTTGGGGCTGACTGTGGGTATTGCAAGTCCGGAAGTGATGCTTATTGGTTCGGTGAGGCCGCAAAGAGAATGCTGACCAGCATACCCAATGCCTCTACCAGGATAGGTACGTCAGTAGCGCTACCATCGATGTGATATTCTTATCCAGCCGGAAACAGCATAGACTGCCCGGTGAGCACGTGGGGCGGGCCGAGGAATCCTCATTCAATCATCCTGACATGCTACATAGCCTTTCTTAACTCTTTGTTCATCATCTTGTTCATCAGCTCCTCATCTTGTCAGCACCAGCTCGTTAATGAGGTAAAGCTTTGCCAATAGTCTTTGCCTCCATTCCCTACTTGACCGACTTGCTACTCTTTGCGGCAATATCCTGGAAAATCTCAAGACTTTCCCGTCTGTGGTGTAAGTGGCGCCGTTTATCCTGGCATGCCATGTGAGCTGGAAGCCTGGAAGACGGCCGCTCGACCCTGGGATCTGGTTACGGCCGAAGTGGTAAAGGTGGCTCCATACACACATGGGTAGCCGTGTTTGAGCCGTTCGTCAAGGCCGCGCACACCTCGAGCGTGACGAAAACTCGGTGTGCGAATGACATGATATGGAAACAATGATTACTGAGATTACTCAGTGGCAGGGCTCAAAATTAAACCACCGGGGAAGAGATGGAGGGGCGCCGCCATGGTTAGAACTATGCATGGAAGCCATAATCTATGCATGAGGAAGATCAGATCAACGAGACTAAAAGACAAGCAACGTCTTTTCCGGGGGGGGGGGCAAGGACAGAGTGTGCGTCAGAGTGAGAAAAGGAAGGATCAGTAAGCGAAAGAGAAGACAGACTAGGAAGCTGTAAGCTCGCTTGATTTTGACCATGGATGTTAGAGAGCGTCATAATGGCACATGGTTTCCCGTGCATTTCGGTCCCGAGCCTAATACGATTTCCATCTAAACCTGCTTTGTTGTAGCGAACAAGAGACGGAAAGTGAGAAGTGAGAGATACACCTATGTGAACCTGGTGGTAACAGGGTCCTGTCAGACTACCAGGGGGGTTTTGTTGCTCGCTTGCTTGAGGTAGGAGTGGAAGCAAACATCGCGGCTGCGGGGGGGTTGCTTGCTGCGAACCTGGTCAAGCAGGGGACTGTGGGGGACTAGACGCGCGTGTGTTGGGTTGGTTCGAGAAAGAGGAAGACGGAGCAGAACAAAAAAGCAGGGACTCGAGTTTGTCGCACGTCATGTCCGCTTTTTCGAATCCTGGCCAGATATGCTACTTTTGCGCATCATGGACCAGATCCGGCGAGGGCCCCGAGGGGTAATGGACTCCTTCGACAGTCAACAAGGGGTCCAGCGCAGGTTTACTAATGAAGCTATTTTCGTAGGCGTCAAACATGCTGATAATCGCTGCTCACTTGGGACGCCAACACCAACGGTTTTGCACCCAATGGCCCCCAAAATAGTCCAAGAAAACGTGGCCCGAGGTTTCGAACAAGGTTCTGTGGAAGATGTATGTTGTTGTTGTTGTCGTCGTCGTCGTCTTCTGCATCATGCAGGAACTACTACACCCACTTCTTCAACGTCGTTCGGATGCAGTACCATGCAACCTTTGTGACGGAAGCAGGCATGCATCCGAAAGCCTCGACCATGTTACACCACTTGTAATGGAGCAAGAATACCGCGGCGTACACGTGCCAAACACCCCCGTGGCGCACTTGACATTTCCCAAAGCTGCATCCCGCCTCACCAAGGGCACGAGATCCGTGTAACACGCTTGTGGAGCCTCATAAAGGACAGCCTGGAGGCGGTCTGCAAGTGGCTTGTATGTCATTTGAACACCATGATGCCGTCCAGCCCGATCCACCTATCCAGGAAAAAAAAAAAAAAAAAAAAAAAAAAAAAAAAAAAAAAAAAAGGTTCGTCACACTGTCGGTTCGGCAAACCCTCACTTTCTTGAATCTGTTGGAGGCTTTCGCCGAGGTGGCTGTATCGCTGGTATTACCATGGAACCTCCTCTGGTCGTCACAGTCATGCCATATCTGAACAAAGCAATCAGCGATATGCCCCACTCGGTGAAGCTCCAAACATCAGACCTCGGTGTCTTGTCAAGTATGTCGTATATGTACCTCAGATCATACCAGGCATGTCAACCTGCGACGCTATGAGGCAGCCTGTTGAGCCAGATGGTGTGCAGGAAGACCGATTAAGAGATGTTTCTTCGCCGGATGTTTGCCATGGGCGGCTATCAACGGATGGTCATTGCAGCAGTTCACATCAGGCAGGAACAGATATATCGCCGTTTCCGTCTCTGGGAGTGAAGTCTGCCTTGCTGAAGGCCAACCAGTCATATGGCCGGACGGGTAGGGTAAACGGCACACTCCAGAAGAGGAGAACCTACACTAGCGGGTTCTGGATGGTGATGAGATTGTCACATCAATATTCAAGTTGCACGGACGGCAAGTGATGCACCTGTTCGAAAATGTGCGACCAACTCTTCAAAGAACTGACATGAAGCTCGATGGTCGCGGAACAAGCCGAGCGAAGACCAGGCTCAAATATATCAGGGTTTTGCTTGACGCAGGAACCAGACTGCCCTGGAACAGAAAGGGGGTTCCGACTTCTCTAGTGAGACCCCCTGCTGTTGAGATGGGTGCAAGGGCAGCAGTCCAATGGAGAGAGAGAAACAATAAACATAAGTACCGCCATCTAATGGCAAGAATCGAACCATCGGCCAGGCAAGCAGTAATTCCCATGCCGTCGTAAGCAAGGTTGCAGCATTTGCCATGTGGAGGCCACTTTGGGACCTCGGCCCCTGCGTGAGTGTGAGCGTGTGTGTTGGGGGACACCGTGAGAGGTGAGTAGTGTCGTGAAATGGGAGAGAACAAAACACTTGAATACGGGTTGAGTGTGTGTTGGTGACAGGGGGCTGAGTGGCTTCCGAACGGTAGCTTGGCCAACTGTGTTTGTGAAGGAGAGCAAACACTGGGCTCCAGGTGTGGCTGAGAGAGATGAAGGGCAGAGGCAGTATGGTGGATCTCGAATGAAGCATCGATCCGAAACCAACCACCACCTACTGTGCATGGTCTGGTCAGTCAGTCAGTCAGTCAGTCAGTCATCCACCTATCGATGGTGGAAGTAAGGGAAATCCGTAAAAAAAGTTGAATCTCGATGTCGTGCAGGCCATTGAACAGTCGCGGGGAGATTGATGAGTTTTAAGGGCCGATAAAAAGGCGGACAGGGAGAAACGGGTTTTGATGACTTTGAGACATTCAAGACAGACATTGGAGTTGGACTCCGGCATACGGAAAAACGGCGAGCCGCAAGCCCGCAGTCGGCCCTTGACACTTTGGCCCGTGGTCCGTGACACGATCAAGAGGTCCGTGCACTTGCAGCGGCATCTAAAAAGATCTGCAGTGGTGGATATGATGGGGTTCCAGGTGGTGTGTGAAAAAGGTCCGGACACCGGCTGGGTATGGTTTGGAATCTGGTGTTGATGCCAGGCGACAGTCAGGACAGCAGCGGGACGGGATGGGATGCAGGAAAAACACTGAGACTCCAAATCCCCCGCCCCGAGGGGTTCAAAGAAAAGAAAGATGCTGGTAGACAATGGACAGCGGACGATGGCGGTCGCGCCCGTGTTTGCCTGAGTGATGACTCTTTGTCTGCTAATAAAAGCCTTTGAGGGTATCGTGAACGAGGGCTGAGCAGGAAATGGATGCATTTGCAGTGGAGTGGAGGATCGATGATGCTCCCGAAACGTTGAGGCTCCAGGCGGGGGTTTGGTGAAGCCGCTGCAAGATTACCTAGGTACCGTGACGGACCGGAAAGACCAGGGCAATCTCGTGCCCGAACGGACAAGTGTCGTCGAGGTCGCGAGAGGCACAAAGTGGCTCCTCTCCACAAATCGTACCTGGCTCGAGGTCACCCGGATACGTGATTGGTTGAAGGAGGATTGCTGTCCCACTTGCCTCGCGTGCAAAAGTCACAGATGGGACAGTGCGATCAACGTCAAAATAAGGTTGTTAGGGAAGGTGGGGTCAAAATGTCCCCCCGTTGCCCCTGCTAGATTGGATGATCGCGCACTCACCCAGAGTCCCAGACCCAGTGGTGGGTGCTTGGGGTGGGTGTCACGAACCGCCAGTCCACAACCCCGGGCAACGGAACCGGGCAGGAACGACTGCGACCCTCGGTGGCTCTTCGTTTAGGTAGATCTCCAGCGCGCGTCGGTCTTGCTGGAACTGAAGCCCCAGCCAGGTCCTCCGCAGTCAGGATGGCCGCTGCCGTGGCTTTTTTGATGGCGTGAACAGCGAAAGCTGTGTAAGATCCCGCGCTGCGATTGGCTCACTTTCATTTCTCCTCGACACCCACCAATCCCCGACCGAGTCCTTCCTTCTCACTTCTGTCCAGGGCTTCCTTCCTTCGACACTACCTACCTACCTACCTACACCTCATCACGCTACTAGACCAGTGTCAAGCGTCATTCGTTCCATGTCACTCAGTGCCGATGACAAGCACCGTGAGATTCGGGTTCGCCGAGTGTCGAATCACATACACCCACCACCAACGCTTTCGACCCCAATGTCCATCAGTGCGTGTTGACGTCGTGGGCGTTTTCTTCCGGATGTGGAAAGCCCCAACACACTCACCAGGAACACGGGCAGATAGCAACAGTAGGTAGGTAGGTAATCTGTTATCTCGGAGAAGCAACAATCGGCTGAGGTAACTGGCGACAAGCGTCGATCCTCATGAGCCGGATCCAAGACTGGTTGGGGCAAAGGCTTCTTCATTCCTCCAGCACCCTAGCATCATTCCAAGCAACACCTTTACCCACAGACACTCAATATTACAGATGCTGCATGTCTTGGTCTACTCGACGATTGCTCCAGATAGTAGGCAAGGTACACTCTCGGTCAGATCAAGCCCTGCATCAAGAACCCCCGGATTTGCATGGTGGGTAGGTGAGGATGGTTACTTTGCCGTATGCAAGTGTTTCTTCCCAGCCGTGTACAGTAGCAAGCCCTGGCTCTGATCATGTCCTACAATGGGTGGGACTTGATTCAAACCTCTCTGCTCGACCAATTTTCCGCGTGGTAGAGGTAGTATTCTACTGTTAGTAGTCCACTGCACCGTCAAATTCCCGTGCCAAACCAAAGTGGTGAAGCTAGTGTGACTTGTTAGCCGCTTCTCCGAAATAGGCAAGCAAGAAGCAACATGAGCACACACATCTCCCGTCCTTCTCAGGCTGTCCCCAGTCAGATCTTCCACCCCTACCCTGCAGCTGGTCTCTAGTTCTAGTCTACACTACAACCACTACAGTACCGGGCAGGTCTAGTCAGGTCCACAGCCAAAAAGGCCCATCATGCCAAACATTCCCACCCCTGCGGTTCCTACTCTCAAGTTCCCTTTATATTGACAAGACTATTCCCTCCTTCGACACTTCCTCTCCCCAGATGTCTAAGGGGTCAAACACGCTTCTTGACGATCTCCTCCTCTGGATTGCTGTATAACTAGAGGAAATCACCTCCATTGCTTTCCCCTTGTGACCCCTCGTCCACTCATTGTTTTGTTTCATTCCGTCTTTGCTACTTTGGACAACCAGCCAACCAGTCTACATACATATTCATCATTATCAACATGGTCACCCACGCACTCTCCATGTGCGACCTGCATCTGGACATGGACCACCACCACCACGACGCTGGCTTTCTCGACTACCCGCCTTCTGCTTTCACCGGTATCAGGTCTTCCTACTCCTTTGCCTCCAACGGCCCGTTCACGCCATCATCCGGCTCGTCCACGCCTGCTCGCCACAACTCAATGGACTTCGGCCCGTCGTCTTTTGCCCCTCCGGTGGACAATGTCTTCACCCCGCCGCCTTCTTCCGTGTCTGCCTACTTTCCACTCAACATGAAAGCTGGAGATGGCTCCGATTTATTCGCACCCGGAATGCCTCTCACACCTTCTCGAACCCAAGTCAACAACAACGTTCACCCAATGCAATACTACAACGATGTCGCAACCCATTTCACATCACCTCAGCAGATGGACTACTACACATTCCACAATGGCTTGGCTCCCTCACCTCTCGCTCCCAGCCCTGCTGTACAGGCGATCCAGCCTGGCAACACGTACGATGCGTGGTCTGTCTGGGAACAAGCGGAAAGCCCCATCTTCAGCAAATTTCTCTCGCCATCGTCAAGCTCTTGCCGGTCAGTCTCAAGAGTAAAACAAGAAGGCGACATGTCTCCCATGTCGGCCGGTGGACACTCGTATCCTTCGCCCACAGAAAAGAGACAGCTTTATGTCGAAGAGGCTCGGCAAAAAACCACAGCTCTCCAAATGGTCCAACGCGATGCCCCTTTGGCTCCCCGCCCCTCCATGCACATAAACGGAGAAGGCAAGCCAGAGCACGAATCACACAACCCATACGGGCCCGGGTCGATACTCATTGATCCCATTCAGAGGGTCTCTGCCGGAACCAACATCTGCGACTACCCAGGCTGTGGGAAAACATACAGGCGATCGGAGCATCTCAAGAGGCACAAGACAAAGTAAGTCATCCCACTTCCAAAGTGTATAACACACAGGGCCAAGCTGACAGCTTAAACAGTGCTCACTCGGAAGTCCCAGTATGGTATCCCTGCAGCTTCTGCGACAAGAAGTTCAACCGACCGGATAACAGAAGACAACATCTCGGGCTCCACGCCAAGCCACGGCCCACCAAGATGAAGGGCGTCAAATATGCTCCCAAGGCCAAGGCTGCTCTGGAAGAGGAGCTGAAGAACATTCCTCGACGGAACAAGAAGCCCAAATCAGAGCATCACGCCTAGGCTGCTTGCATCAACCTGCCAGGCGTTTGGGGTCTTTTTATTTCTGATTAATTTCTTCCTTCTCTTCTTCTTTTCTCTTTGTTCTTTCTTTTCTTTTTCTTTTACTACTTTTTGGTGCTGCTGTTTTGCTTTTACTTTTCACGCAGCAATTTGTTTCATTATCGCAACATACCCATTTTCTATATCACGACCGTCGGCGGCGCACTCAACGTGCTATGCTTCCAACAGGCTTTTTTTTTTGGCTGGCATGGCTTTTGCTTATCTCTTTTGTCCACTGCAATACTGCATCCTATCATCTGGGCGTTTGGAGGCTTCATACCTTATCTAATGTGTGAGATCAGTCGAGAGCGAGAGACAGAGCTGGGTCTCCATAACGAAGACCATGTATTAATCACAAGTACTGTAACACACCTGGTGCAGCCGCGGGCGATCATATACCCGGGAGGCAACAGATCCGCAGATGGGAGTTGTATGGATGGGACCTACCTAAAGGGCGCCCTAATGGGAAGGAGGGGCACGCTTTGTGCCGGCTCGGCTAGGAGGGGAAGGAAAAGCAAAGGGAAACTTAAACTAACAAAGGAAAAAGCAATTTTCCAAATGAGTATAATGTTACCAACTAAAGTCGAAACCGATTGGCCACTTTGTCACCTTGAATCTTTCTGTTTCAATGAACGTGGGAGATTGCTTTGCAGTCCCTCTGCTGTATGTAGTTCCACTCTTTCTCAAAAAACCCGGGAGTTCCTTGCAAGTAAGTGACAACGGGAAGGAAGGAAACAACCAATGGCTAAACAACCAAACGTCGTACGATCAAGGCGACGTACGACGGGGGGGCAAACTAAAAACCAACTATCAAAAAACCACTACACTACACGTAAAAACCCAGTGTCTCAGATTCAGTTCTCTCAACACCGACTGGGCAACTGCAAGGCACACGGCACCCCGCAATTTTCCAATATCTGCCCGAGACAAGATTCTTTGGGGGGGGTGCTGCCCCGTTACTTACCGGTAATGGGTTGATGTAGCAGTCACTGAGCGAGAGAATGTCGAGACTCGAACCGTCTCGGCCGGGTAATGTTGCCGTTCGTAACTTGAGAGTGGCCATTCGCCGTCAATAATGGGTATCTATTTTGCCCCGTTACGTCGGGCCGCTTCAGGCTCGGCACTGTACTACCTACCTAGGTACCTCTAGTGTAGGCAGTATTAGTGGTACTAGCTTAGGTCAATAGTAGGTAGTGTAGTCGGGAGGCAGATAGGTAGGTAGGTAGGTAACTGAAGGTAGTCCCCTCAAGCTTTGAAGTATGTCTCTATCTCTAGTGCGGGTACTTGGTATACTACACACACCTACGTGCTATGTACCTAGGCCTTGTGAGCTTGTGGGACTTGATGTCAGCTTGTGGAGTTTCTAGGTAGGTACCTAGTCGGGTGGTCGTCAGCCCAGAAGTAATAGCGCCAGAAGAAGAAGACATGGATTGAAGAGTAAAGGCGGATTTCGTCCAATCGGTCGTCATCATTTTCTAGCGGGCGGCTTAAGGTTCACTAGAGGGTACAGTAGGTAAGTACCTAGTCTACAGTACACTTGGTTTCTTACCTCTACTCGGCTCCCCGGCTTTCCGGGTCCTTACCTACCTAGTGACCGGAGGACTAGAGGACTGCATCCCCACCTAAGTAATCTAACATAGTAGAGGGTACATATACTAGTGAGACTAGTGTACTGCATATGTAGTAGAGGTAGTGTAGTGTAGTGTAGGTAGTATACCTACGTGTGCGTAATCTTGAAGTACATGACAAAAGGAAAACAAGAGGCAAACTAATGCACTGCGAAGGAGGGGTCCAACCATATCCTTGGGTAAGTATCCATACTTCACTTTGCTTTTTTTTTTTTTTTTTTTTTTTTTTTTTTTTTTTTTTTGTTGGGTAGCCGTCTTTGCTTTTTACTTTGCTTCTTTTTTTTCGGTTCTCTTCTCGGTTCTCCTCTCCTTTCGGCGATAGTACATTAGAGGTAATTAAACCTAGGAAGCCGAGCAAAAGCTACCTACTGCGGGTAAGAGAGATTGGAGTGAGATGTCAACTCAACCTAACCACCAAAGGGTGTCAAGATGAACTGAAGTTTGCCTACCTACCTCCAGACTTACAAAACTGCCAAGACGAAATGGGGCCAGGCGGCCCTATAAGGTTGACTGGGCTTGGGTTAGTTAGTCCCATCTGTTACATACCTACCTATGTAATGGTTAGGAGAGATCTAGTGTAGTGTACCTAAGTTTCGATAGCGAGCAGAGCTGAGATGGAGATGGTGGTAGTTGGTGGCGATGAACTATGTGAATGGGGAAGTTTTTCTTTTTTTTCCCTCCTAGAGGTAGATAGGTACCTACCAGGTACGTAGTGAGGTAGTGTGCGCGTCGCAAGAGTTGTTTGAGAATGTTTCCAATCCCCAACTTTGCTGGGGGACAAGAGTAATAGTATTTGTCCTGTCAGTAACAAGTTTGGATGGCTAAAAGTACAGATTTGATATTTTTGTCATGACTGGGGTTTGTTGTAGATATAAAAGGCTAGAGTAAGTCATCATGCATAAGTCGCTTGTTCTTTCTCACTTTCTTCCTACGTACCTTAGGTAGTCCACATAGAGGTACCACGGTGGGTGATAAGCTACCTCTAACCGACCAACGAACGCATCTGATAGGTCAGGTCGAGTCCAGTTCACCACACCAAGCCCAATCGTGAACCTGTGATTGATGTTTTGCTTTTTCACTAAGTACAGCGAACAGGCAGGTTAACGTACCCTCATTGAAATCACGGGTCCAATTCCATCACCGGCCATAGGTCCAATAAGTAGAGGTATTCTATCACTTACCGCCTTTCTGCGGAAACTTGACACTTTCTGGTCAATTTTGCGAATGGTAGAACAATTGAAGCTTTACCCAGAGAGATATTAATTTTCCATTCCTGAGATGCATCTTGAGGCTGTCTACGTACTTATCAATTGGGTCTGATCACAGCAGAGATCTTGTCCTACCACATTTACCCCATACTTCTAACCGATGTTCAAAGACATTCCCGCTGTTGCTGTGTGGGTGTGGGTACACAAAAAGCCACCTGTCAGAGGAATCGCCTCCTCAAATGGCCACCCGGATGTTGCAGGTACCCGCGACTGTTTTTTGTCCTGGACCTGCATAATCGGTCATTCCAGTCGTTATGGTGGTGGTACGGGTAGAGGCTGCAACCTTTTTACATGGCAATCAGTTCATCACTTACATTGATACTCTGGACAGAACGAACTAGGAAAACAGCTGGGCTGTGTCTGTTGTGTGCCTGGTGGGTTTGCCGAGGAGGGGTACTGGAGAGTCCAAAGTTGAAAGTGGCAATGGTGTGTAGGTACCTAGCTACATTACACCACAAACTGGAAGTGAGTCAAACCTCGATTGACTTTGTTCGTCTTTTTGGGAAAGCCGTCTTTGCCGATCTGTATGCCGCATTCCGGCTTTATGTGCGAATTGCGAAAGAGGTAACTGAAGTTCATGCACTTCTGAAACCTTTAGATTGTTCACATATCGTTCATCTAAGAGCCTTTGAGTTACAGGGTCCAGTGATCATCCACAGGTACAGTAGTCTTATGCATGGGAAATGATGAACAGTCAAAAGCCGCGGAAAGGGGTTCTGTTGTTATGCATGGCGATAGATAGATGGCATGAGAATGATTATCATTCTTGGCGAGGACTCGGTGATGACCAAGATCAGGAACATGGAAACTGACAGGTCGCCAGTCCAGATGCCAGTGATTTGCAGGCGGGTAGTCGAGAGGGGAGCCCATAGGAGGAGGAGGAGGAGGGGAATGCGAATTCCGATACTTGCCAGCCGAGCAAAGCTGAGAGAGGAGGGGTCCTCTTTCCCCGGACTCTCGTCGTTTCTTCTTCCATCCATCCATCATGCCATCATTTTTTTCCCACAGAGCTGATCGCCGATCATATCCATGGTAGGACCCCGAATTATTTTCTACAGTTACTTTTTTTTGCGCTTGCTATGTTAGCTGTAGGTTCCCTCTAGATAAATCCGATACCAAGACGAGGAAGCTATTTTACCAACAGATGCAGCAAGTGTTATTACCCGACTTGGCGACAAACGAGATAGAAGTGTTATTTCTCCATCTGCACGACAACGCCCCGGTGAGCTTGTATGACATGGGTTTCGGCAACAGTGCTTGGGATGCCGTCAGTTGTAGCACTTGTAGGTGCGACTGCGACTGCGTGTTAATGCTGCACTGTACGGTGCGGCTGGCCGGTCGAACGTGCGGCGTGGCCGGCTCCTACGACGGTTAGGTAGTAGATGACTGAGTACAATACAAGTTGGCAGTTGGTAGCATTTGAGGAACGAGGATCGAGAAAACGACGAAACAGACGGACGGGTGCTACCAACCATTCAACCAACCAACCAACCAACAAGATAGGTTTCGCCTCGGGTACACGTAGAGTAGCAATCTGGACCGAACGGAAGGCTCAGCTTTCACGGGGTCTAGAGTATGGATCGTCACTGGACTGGGCTGTTCTAGTGTAAGGCCTGCCTCGCTCGAGGTCGCATCTGAACTGGGTCGCACGGCGCTTGGTACGTTCCAGTGGCTCGGTTCTTGGTTTTTGGTGTGTACTCAACGACGGGGTCCGTCGGATGATGACCTCCAAGGATAACTGAAGTAAACGTCAAGGATGGCGTGTGTGACGGAACCAACACCGACCCTCGTGAGGCTGGCCACTCATAACGCAGAAAAGAGGCATCGTATCATGGTGTACACTGCCATACTGTGTAATGTAGAGATATCCATCACCATCCTGGTTTTGATCGCCCACCATCTTCTCTTGGCATTTTCCCACTTGGGAGACCTACTGTACCCTGGAGGTGAATTCTGAATCGTGGTTGGCTAGAAAAACGAGCAGGCCGGATACGGTACTAGTATTACGACAAAAGATGGAGGGTGTGACGAGGCGTGTGAGGCTTGAGGAAGCTGGCTTAGTACTCCTGTGGTGACAGCCTGTCAAGATGGAAAACAGAATGTCAAGTGAGGGGTCACACAGACACGGGTGCTCCCAGAGCCACACGGTCATGTGTTTTTCACTGCGCTTAGTTGAGGTTCACGTCGGTTCGGGTAGGTGGCCCGGAGCAGTGTTGTTGCAGTGAGTGGTGATGGAGGGGCAGTTGCCGTATTGGTTGTTTGGGGCTCGGTGGCTTGAAAACATTCCACTTGGCAGATGGAGGGGTTAATTTGGGGTGGAAGGAACGCTGAGCATCGACATACCTCTACCTAACATTTTGTCCAACGGCAGGAGCTCCTCCGAGAAGATTTTCGGTCAACTTGGCGGGAAATTTGCTTGTGTGTAAATAACTGTGGAAGGAGTGGTGGTGATGCTAACAGTAGCAGAGTGGTAGACGGTAGTTGCTGTTAGTGCTAGTATACAGCTCTCACGGAATCTCTAACAGCTCCTGCTTGGCCATCTTGCCCGTGCATCGCCTCATTTCAATTTCAACCTTCCCTCACCACCACCACCATCACCACCATCACCACCACCATCGCCGGCAGCCATCAACAACGTGACTCATGCTGTCCAGTATCTCCCGCCTCCCGGAAATGGCTCAACATCTCCTTTTCCGGAAATCCATCAATCCTACGACTTGCTATTCCCGGGAAGTACATTGAACTAATATCAACATCCCATCCATCAACAGTCAATATGCCGGAAACAAGCCTGCCGTCATACCAGGAGGCTACGAGGACGCTGGACTGGCTGGAGCTGGTTGGCCCCTCCACCTCGATTCGGGACTATGCCCGACTCTGCCGTGTGTCGAGGCACTTTTGCGATTATTTCCTCCCCAGGCTCTGGACCGATCCGTTTGCCATGTGCTACGCCCTCGACGAGCCAACTGACAGGCTGGATGGGGGAATCCCGAGAACCGAACTGTTCACGCAAACCGTTCCTAATGCCCGTTTGAGCACCCGTTCCCTGGTTTTCGCCTTCACTCCACGCATCAGGGACTGGCCATCCGTGCTCGACCGTTACGTGCTCTCCTCCTGGCTCCCCAACGTGCGCTGTATGACCCTGATTGACTGTCCTCCCCCAGGTGATCACGAACGTACAATCCAGTTCACGGCTAGCCAGTTTCCAACCCAACCGTATGTCGTGGCTGCCGCCAGGTGTTCTAAGCTGCGAGTACAATTGCCTGACCCAGAACAATTCCAGAAAGTCGTCTACCTTGATGACTCTCGCGTTTATAATCAATATGGACACGCCCTGCCCGTCTTCAAGAGTATGCACAGCTTACGCATCCTGAGGGCGACTGGCCACAATATGGGAGACTCGCACGCTGCACAAATCTTGGACAAACTTTGGCAGTGGTTATGGAGTCTTGACCTGTCCAACAACCGCTTGTCCGATCGCTGTCTCCAAGCTGTCGCCAGGCATGGCTTCTGGGGTTCTCGGCGGCTCGGGAGACGTCAGGATGATGGATCATGCTCATGTGTTGGCCGCGGCTATCGTCACGAACTGGAAGGCTCTGTATGCTCGAGCAAGATGGGTCTCTTCATTCACGAAACACCCTGGACCGAGGACTTGCGTTTGTATCATCCCCGGAGGTACCATGAGGACAGCCCCGAATATGTATTCAGGGCCAACCCGTTCGACACCATCCCAGAGTCTGAAAAAGTAAGAAGGAAAGCCTTCGATGACTCGCTTGATGCTGCCATCAAAGCCATCTGCTTGGAGAAGGATGTTTCGTCGATTCGTCATCTCGAAATTTGTCAACGTCCCCTTTGGGGTATCACTCATCTCTACCTCAATCAGAATCCTTTGATCACTGCCGAAGGCTTCAAATCGTTAATGGAGTTTGGGCTCGAGCAGCTGCAGCGGTTTGAGTGCGACTCCATGCTGTGTATGACTGAAGCCGACATGTCCCGATTCAACGAGTACTACCACGACTCCAGGGCCGTACCATCATCCGTGTCTGGCTGCAAGACCCAGGCGCTAGCCGGCATTTTGGGTCTCTCTCATCTGTTCCGCCCTGTATTTTCTAACCTGCAGATCTTACGTATTCATCACTCTTTGGTCACGAATCTACCCTCGCTGGTGGGATTCGATGATCTATCTGCCATGGAGAAGATATGGTTCGCCGAAACCTTCCTCCTCCCTCGAGCCGACCTAGTCTTTCCCAACCCCTTTCATCCAGCAATGAACCCCTGGCTGAGTTCTCTGACCCTGACGCACATCCCGCGGTACTCTGCCGGGCCTTTGATCGAGAGACTCAAGGGATTGTTGAAAGCTGCATGGTTTCAGGAACAGACAATCGCCAACCTGAGGGCAGAGTATCGCCGTGTCCAATCACGCCATCCACCCCCGCTGCTCACCGGACTGCGCAAGATCTTTCTCGAGTTTGATGCGGACCTGCGTGAAAAGCAAGGGAAGGACCATACGGGAACTGCTGAATTGGAGGGTTTTGATGCTGAAGCTTTGCTCAATAGCGGTGCTACTGAGGAGTTCAACACATTTGGGGGATTTACTTGCAGCAGCAACAGCCACGGCACAAGCGGCCCATCAACTTCGTCCGCTGTGAGACATGTCAATGCCAGCAACAACGGTACGACAAGGTCCCGGCGGCAACAACCGCAACACGGCTCAGAATTGGACCGACTAGGCACCGAGACATCATGGGTCCGAGCGGTGCTACAGTCCCGACACCAGAAATGGCCACAGGAAGTTGAACGACGGGCGCATGAGAACCTTGATTGGAATCAGCCGATCTACGTGACATCCATCTCCAAGGCGGCGTCTGGGAAGACCAAGGTATTCGTTGGGTATCATCATGAAGGTCACAACCAACCGGTGCTCAACAACAACGACGGCGCGTCCTCGTCTAAGCTGGCATCACCATCAGTTCAAGATCTGTACGATCCATGGCAATCCCCCTACCTTTCACAAGAACAAGCCCGACAACCACCAGCGCTTCCCCCATTACCAGAACGGATACAGAGACGAGCCAACTCCCTACTCCCCCAACCACCCGCCTACACGGCTTGGCCCATTCCCCCATCCACCCCATTACCACCACCAGCAGAAACTCCAGACCTCCTAACCCCAGTTCCCCCCTGCTACACCTCCTTCCCCTACTTCCTCTCCCCCCAAGAGAAGCAAGCCTCCATCAACACTTACAATCTCCTCGTTTCCCGCGTGTTGTGGTTGCATCCGAACAGCGTCCGTGACCCTGGCGATAGGGTGGATCCCTCAGCTGCTGACCATGTTGGTCCTGCTGGGTCCCCTACCGCTGGTCTCAATGCTTCCAGTAGTTTCAATGCCTCCAGTGTGTTTGATGCTTATGAAGGTCCTCGTGGTCCCGGTGATATTGAGCGAGATGATGAGCTACTACGAGTCTTTGGTCCCATCATGGCTGCAACACCGAGTATGGTGAGGGCAGGGGTGCCAACACAGTCTCTTCCGCGGGCGGCGGGTGAAGGGGGTGGAGGGGGTGAAGGGGGTGAAATGCGTCGTGAACGATTATATCGACCTGATCACATCGTACGCCGGCAGATGGAACAAGATGTACGTCAAGCTGCGGACAGTCAAGCGAGGGCAGCGGCGGCGGGGAGAGAAGGAGTAGGAGCAGGATGCTATGTATTCTGGTCAGCTTGGAAAGCCGGTCTTTTCGGGGATGTTGTCTTTCCGGTTTCTTCGTCTGCGTGTTCTGTTTCTCGGGATGAGCACGGTGGGTTGGACGGTCACGGTGAAAGTCAGGACACTGGGGATTTCTCTGGCGGGAGAATGGCTAGCGGTGATGGTGCTGGTGGGCAAGACAGCGAGGCGGTAAACGCTAGCAACGCAGCAAAGCCAGAGAGAAAAAATAGCGCAAGGAAGCAAAATCTCTTGAGAAAAGACATGCGCCGTCCTACGCGGGAGGAACTGGGGCAGATGAAGGATGTGATTGAGGAGCTTAAGAAGTTCAGGCGTTTGACTGGTGGTGGGACCACTGGCAGTAGTAAGAGTCGGAAGTCCAAGGACAAGGGGAAGGGAAAACAAAAGGCCGTGGCTGTAACTGCGGATGATGGGTCTCCTGGTGGAAATGATCAAGAGGGTGATGAGCAAGATGAAGACAGCAAATGGGCAGGTAAACATTGGATGGGTGAGTTGAAGGTTATTAGGAAACAACCGGAACCGGAGGGAGGGGGCTTTTAGGAGAGGGACCTCTAGATTGGTCTAGATGCCTAGAGATCGATTGGATGGATACCTATACTAGGAAATAGCGGTTGTAAGAGAGAGAGAGAGAGCGCGGAACCGTTAAAAGGTAGGATAGATGGACGGTACACATGTATTTAGAATGTTAGAGCTAGCAGCAGCATAATAGAAGTAAGTATGCTTATTAGATTTGCAACCCCTTAATTCAAGTTCAACTCTGTTCTCCGACCATTGCCATCACCACTACCTACGCTAGTGTACCACAGTCCGTGTCCATGTCCATCCATAGGTATCTCTTAAACTTAAGCATTGTTCAACGGACATGAGCTTCTGAATAACTCGTTAGTCGTGAACCAACTTTTTCGTTGGCGCAGAGCAACCGGTATCAAGAATGAGATTTCATGCTGGTCTTCGAACTTAAGTACGTAGTAAAGTAGATGAACACAAAAATCGGAAAAATTAAAGACAAAACCAAGAGAGAAAAGTTGAGAAGCTAAAGTAAATACCTACGTGAAGTCAGGTGTCGAATTCATCAAGTTCTAGTCAAGACCCAAGGTCTATCTATCTATCTATCTATCTATCTATCTATACCTACACATCCAACACCCCCCCCCCCCCCTTTTTTTTTTTTTTTTTTTTTTTTTTTTTTTTTTTTTCCTTTTCTCTTGGTTAGTTAAAAAAGAATTTTCATTTTTTCATTTTTTAATTTTTTTTAGATTTTCTTTTTTACTTATTTTTTGGTCTTGTTCTTAGGTGCTGGTGCTGCAATGCAGTTATGGAGTTATTGAGTTATGAAAAAGAGAGCGAAGCGAAGAGTAGTAAGGAAGAGAGTACAAGTGAGTACCTAATATATGGAGGAGGACTGACTGACTGACTAACTAGTCTAACTAACTGACCGCCGTCCATGGTCCACTTTTTAGTATTTATTCCTACTATAAACTAACTAGTCTACTAAACTACCTACCTACTTTTAATTGGTTTCGCAGCACGGGAACGGAACGTGTATCACGATTGATTGGAAGCTTTTTTTTTTGGCTGCCCGTTGGAAAAGTTAAATCGTCAAGGGTACTAGTAAATCTGATCTTTGATCTCTGTTCATTTCCCATTTTCGATATGGTATGGTATGGTATGTAGCTAGGCATATTGCTTGCTTCGTTGCTTGCTTACTTTGCTACTTCTACCTGGGAAACCTCATACATGAATGAGCAATGTGAAATCATGAGAAGCAATGAAGCACTTGATGATGAAGAGCCACGAAACCATGAAGAACCACGAAACCATGAAGAACCATAACAATGTTGGATATCTCGACTGTGTGAAAGAAAATAAGAAAAAAAGAGCCTTTTGTGTAACAGCGCTGGCACTGATGGTGGCCAAGCCTAGCCTATCCTTTTCCGCATTCCCTATTGCCTGTTTCCTATTTCCTGTTTCATATCGCCTATTGCCGTTTCCTAACAATTCCTCCAAAAGCAACCAACCCTATCCAGTTACTGCCAGAGTTAGGGTATAAAAGGACCTATCTATGCATGGAAGAAGAAGATCTAGAAATGTACACACGCCATCAATCAGTCCAAATGCGTCCAATTCCAAAGGCAGGGTCACGTCTGTCCTTGACTCTTTGAGCGTTCGTATTGGGATTCGGCTTGAGCAGCCTGCTCGTTTTGTTCCTGCTCCTGCTTTTGCTGCCGCTGTAGAGCTTTCTTTTCCCGACAATATTTCTTGATGTACTCTCGACGATGCCTTGCTCGTCTTTGCCGCTCTGATTCGATATGAGGTCCAGGTTGAGTAGCCTGCTCGTCCTTTTCCTGCTGCAGCAAAGCTTTGTTCGTCCGATACCATTTCCTATCATACTCACGCTTACGCTTTCTTTTCCTTGCACTGGGTGATTCGACTTGGAATTCAACTTGAGTAGCCTGCTCCGGCTGCTCCTGCTGCACCTGCTGCTGCTGAGCTTTATTTTGCTGATGCCCTTTCTCATTGGACTCTCGATCAAGCAATTCCTGTCTTTCCCTTTGTTCTTCCCTGTGATTCTCTATCTCAACAGGAATCAGGCCATGCTACATCGCCTGTTGATCCTGTTGCTCAGGCATGATCATCCCCTGTTGCACTTCTCCCTGTTGCTGCTGACCTTGTTGCTCTTGAGCCCCTTTCTGATCACTTCCATCCCCATCGCCATCATCGTCTTCCTCAACATCAACTCCAGGAACGTCAGGAGGAACGTCCTACATCCCCTGCTGATTACCCATCATCCCTTGCTGTTGACCCTGCTGCTGCTGCTGTTGTTGTTGTTGTTGCTGAGCAGCCTGTTGAGCAGCAGCCTGTTGAGCCGCCATCTGCAATTGCATATGTTGTTGCAACTGCTGCATCGTCATGGGATTCATCTGCCCGGCGGCCATCTGCTGGCCCATTTGTTGTGCTGCCATTTGGCCAGCCATACCGTTCATCTGCCCAGCCATACCGTTGCCCATCTGTCCCTGCATCCCTCCCTGGCCCATCTGGCCAGCGTTCATTTGCTGAGCCATCTGCTGCATCTGCTGCTGGCTCAACTGACCATGTCCACCAGCCTGTCCCGCCATCTGCGCCTGTGCCTGTGCCTGCGCTTGCTGTTGTGTCTTCAAGAAGTTCTGTATCACCATGGTCTTTGCATGCTGCCGACACTGGTTCTTGAACGCCTCCAGGTCCCCTGGCGGGATATTGGCTGGCTGACCTCCCCACTTCTCGGCAAAATTGGGAAGCTTCTTGGAATACAGCGAGCTCGTCACATTATTGATCTGCTGGATCACAGCTGGGTTGACGGAGAGGGCAGCCAGTTGCTGCTGGCTTATTGGCGGCATCGCGGGGTTAGGCCGGGGGACACCCACTTGGCCGTGCATGCCGGGTTGACCGGGAGCGGAAACGCCGGGCTGGCCTTGCTGTGCGGCTTGCTGCTGTTGGAGCTGTTGGGCCATTTGTTGCTGTTGCTGTTGCTGTCGCAAGGCGATCTGTTGTTGCATCATGGCTACTTGTTGAGGGTTTAGACTGGCCATATTGATCATTCCCGCTTGCCCTGGTTGTCCAACCATACCCGCGCGCATCTGCCCTTGCATCTGACCCATGTATTGCTGCTGTTGTTGTTGGTGTTGCATGGTAGCCAGCTGGGCAGAGTACTGCGCAGCAATATCTCGAGTGCCAGGAGCCATCATGTGCGGCTGCTGTTGCTGCTGCTGCTGCTGCTGCTGCTGCTGCTGCTGTTGACGAGCAGCGAGCATCTGTTGCTGGGCAATCCGTTGTTGTAGCTGGGCTTGTGTCATCTGCCCGGCCATCATGGGGTTGCCATGTCCCTGAAGACCAGCAGCAACCATGCGTTGCTGGAGCGCTCGCTGTTGTTGAGCAATGAAGACAGCAGCCTGTTGAGGATTCATGTTTTGTGGCGGAACCGAAATACCGCCCATCTGAGGCATTCCCGTAGGGCCGTTCATCAGCATGGCCTGGCCAACTTGCTGGTTCGCCATCATTCCAGGTGGTGGGCTTGCCTGGGACAGGCGTGGCGTTGGTACGACGGAAGGACGGCTCATGGGCGTTGCGTGAACCATGTTAGGGGTAGCGCTGGGCATCCTAGGCGTTCCAGCTGCGTGGCTCTGTTGACTGCCTCTAGCAGACATACTGGTAGCCATGGGAACGGACATCGGACCATGGCTCGGAGCCACAGATGGGGGTCGTGCCGGGCTCCCGCCCATGTTGGAATTGGAAGCTTGCATGGCCACGCTGTTGACCATGGGTGACGATGCCATCTGTGGCGTGTTTTGCCGGATAATCGGTGATGATACCTGGCCTTGCGATACTTGAGGGAACCTAGCTACACCATTAGGCATGTTGTTACCCAAATTCGGGCTATTTTGCATGGTAGCAGGCATAGTATGTGGTGTTCCCATCGAAGTCGGCTGGACCTGCTGCTGTTGTTGTTGTTGTTGGGCCTGCTGCTGGGCTTGCTGTTGGGCTTGCTGCTGGGCCTGCTGCTGAGCCTGAGCCTGAGCCTGAGCCTGAGCCTGAGCCTGAGCCTGAGCCTGGGCTTGTGCTTGAGCTTGTGCTTGAGCTTGAGCTTGCGCTTGCTGTTGAGCTTGCGCTTGCTGAGCTTGTTGCTGCTGCTGGGCCTGCACCATAGCCATTCTCTTTTGGTTTTGCTCCTTCTTCAAGCGCTCCATTTCCATTTGTTTTTGTTGAGCGACAAGCAAGGCTTGTTGTTGTTGCTGCTGCTGCTGCTGTTGCTGCTGCTGCTGATCCGCCTGCGCTTGGGCCGCCGCCAACTGTTGTTGCTTCGCTGCCTGAGCGGCTGCCAACTGCTGCTGCTGCTGCTCGCGTTGCTTCATGGCTAGGATCCGCCTTTGCTCGGCCTCCTGAAGCTCCTTCTCAGCCTTCTCCTGTTCCACCCGGGCCTTGATCTCTTCGAGAAGCTGGAACTGGTTAAAGCGCGGCTCGAACCCTGATCCGGTCGCTTGCCCTGTCCCATCTGACCCATGACCAGCTCCTGGGGCACCAGCAGCCCTGTTGGACCTGCGCTCGTCGCACGCAAGCATATACTGCTCCATCTGCCTGGCATTGGCGTCTTCCTCTGCCAGCTCGGCGTCCGTCTTCTTGCGTCGCTTGGGTTCTGGTGGGGCATGCGAATGCGCTGGGTCTGATACTATTTGCTGCTCGAGCTTCGAGATAAGTTGTTCAGCATCTCTTGTCGGTTCCAAGTCGAGAGGTGGTAGGGTGCTTAGCAAGATCTGGGCCTCGGCGGCCACAAGGTTGCTCGGGTCCAGGTCAATCTGGTCCAGCTTTCTTTTCCTACTGGGCGGCCCCATGGGTGTCTGGACTGGCTGAGCAAGGGCGCCGGGAGTTGGCGGAATTGCCATAATCTTGGACATGGGGTTGCTGATGCCCAATGCCAGATCCGTAGACAGACTTTCTGGCGTGGGGCGTAGCACAACGGTTATGGGTTTGCGGGCCACCTCTTGATTACTTTGGCCGTTGGCCTGGCCATCTTGGGCGGGGATGTTTTCCTTGTCGTTGCCCTTTGCATCTTGCTGCTTGATGAGTCCGTTGGGCTGGGCGCCCTGGTGCTCCTGGAGGGCCTCCTTTGGGTATGGCGCATACGGCGAGGGAGTAACGTAGGAAGACCACCTGTGGATGGAGTGGTCACTTGAAGCAGGAACCGGCTCTGCCGGGCCCTTGGACGCAGTGGCTTTCCCATAGGTGTAGACCTGGACGATCAAGCAACCGTCGTAAAAGGAAACGTCGGCGGTGTGGAAGTCCAGAAGGAGAGAATGAGGAATAGTGCGAGTCCTTAGGTGGGGGATGAAGGCCGCGCCAAGGGCTGACGTGTAGCTGGTAACGGTTTCTTGCTGATCGAAGCGCCAGTGGTTCGGATGAAGGTGTACGATCAAGGAAGGCGGGTTCCCGGCGTGCTTTTTTAGGAAAGCCCGGTCCGATATTGGGACATTGGGGACAGACGGTGGCTCGAAGAGGGTAGCGGAAGCTGGCGGGCGTTGAGCGCTTCCGGGAACGGGGCCATGGCCAGACGGGGCCCGATTACGGGGACGATTCGGAGGGGGTGGTCGAGCAGGGGAGCCGTTGGCCATGGTGTTTGCGCCGGGGGGATTTGACGGCTGACGGGCGGAAGACGGGGCGCGCTTGGCGGACATTAGAGGGGAGGCCGCGTTGGGCGAGGCTGTGTTGATGCCGTTGGTCTGGATTCCTAGGGAAATAGGACGCTTGACCTTGGTCGCGACTAGCGGCGGCGGCGGTTGGGGTTGCGACATGTTTGGCGACGCGCTGGTGGCAGTAGCGGGGCCCATTGATATCCCGTGTGGTGCGCCAGGGGCGACCTCGTAGGTAGATTAAATGACAGACTCTTGTTGTGTCCTCGTATGCGACCGTGTTCACGTTGGAACTGGAACGGGATCGGGATCGGGGCTATGTTAAAGGTTGAGGTGACTAGGTAGGTAGGTAAGGGAACGTCAGGCGGAGAGCCGCTCGCTCGGCGATGATCCAACCAACAACGGTTCTCGATGGAGTAAGGACCACAGTCTGGGGTGACTACAGTACGCAGTAGGTATGGAGTCTCTGTCGGACGGGGCGTCAGCAGCCGAGCATGTCGGGGGCTTGTTTGTCAATGGGGACGTCTCCGGCGGAGGGGATGGTAGCGATTAAAAGTTGTTGTTGACATGTGCGGTAGTGACGGATTGACGACGATGATGGTGGATGGATGGGATTGACTGACGGATGGAACTGAATTGAAAGAGAGAAGCCCGGACAAGCAAGATCTGATCTGATGATGATGTCGGAAGGCCTGCCGCTGCTGTTCTTGGCTGGAAAAGTGTTGGTCACTCACAGGGCATGGAATCCAGTGTCGAGGCTTGGCGCTTGCCCCTGTGTGTCAAAGGGCCTTTGAGGTACCTTCCACTTCCATCTGGTGAAGAACACAGTGAAGTAGGAGGTACTGCTGTAGGGCAGATCTCACTGCAGCAACACGCTGTAACTAGGTGCTGGTGGGCTGTCTACAACCCACTAGAGATACCTGTGACCAACTGTAGGGTTTCTAGGTATCTGAGGTGTCTGCTTTGTACGACGGGAGCGGGCAACCAGGTCTTAGGTTCCAGGTTGTCCGGGTCAGCACCTCGAGAAGTATCAACGATGGTGATGATGATGTCTGTCTGTCGCCGGCACCCAGTCTCCACGAGGAGGTCTCAGAGTCTATATATATAAAAGGGAAAAAAAAAAGAAAGAGAAACAGTTGAAAATATCAACCTGAACCTGATGGTATATTCTTAGCGAGAGGAGGATCCATATTGAGTGCGAAGAATGATCTGATGATATGTCAAGTCTCGACCTGGGAGGATTGACAAGGGAAGAAAGGAAGGCAGAAGAACAGAGTATGGATGTCGAGGAACGCTTATAAAGAGTTCAGTTCCATAGGTATTGGACCTCTGGCTGCTCGCCGCGGGCAGCGCATATACGAGCGAGTTTTACCAAGTAGGTACTGTACCTACAGGTGCCGAGGGGGACAAACTCGACTATAACCCTAACCCGCACCCCTGAATCGCCGAGGTCCATGCCAACAACTCCCGAATTGCGAAGGCTTTCGAAGCGACGGAGGACCAAGGAAAATTACCTACATCATGAAAGGGGCTATACTAAAAGTGCCTGGGGGCTTCCGGCACACAGACAGCTAGGTAATATATCGATTTGTCTTGACCACCATCCCAAAGGACCTTCCCGTCCGTAGGTACTTAGCTACTTCCAGCCCTTCCCTCCCAACAGCCGGCCAGCAGCTGCAGAAGCCCTGACCTAAACGCTTCGGGAGCGCTTACTGATCTGTGGACTCCAAACAGTCCTGCTTCTTTCTACGCATGCTGGTTGTTCACTTCATCCACCGAAATCCGTCATCCGTATCATCATATTCCATAGATAGGTAGGTATCTTAGCCAAAAGAAACACTGGCCCGCTTCTTTCGTATAGAGCAGAGTGGTATACATCAACAGCAACAACAAAACATGGATATCATCATCACTCACCCTTCTCAGCAGCCCAGCTCACTCCTGACCCTGAACCCTCCTAACCCAATCATCCCCCAACTTGCCCGCCCTCACATCCACCACAACCACTCCCCTCCCTCGCCCCACTCGCTCTTCCTTCTGCCACCACTTGACCTCTTTGTCCTTCTTCTCCTTCTCTCCATTCTTCTCTGTGTCGTCGTCCTCAGAATCAGAGTCCGCCAGACCGCCGTCTCCTTGCTCGGCGCCAACCACCAATACAATGTCGTGCCTTAACCATGTCTGGAGCGAAGTGATGACGCTGCCGTCGGGGCCGGCCAAAGATTCCTGGAGGTAGATGATTTCGGGCTGGATGTGGCGCAAGATGTGGGAGTGGCCGGCGGGGGTGGAGAAGGTCAGGATATGCGAGGGCTTGGAAACGAGAGCGGCGGCTTGGTTGTAGAGGGACGTGTACGCAGAGTCGGCACTGGGATTAGAGTTAGCCATGGACAAAAAAGAAAAAAAACAAAAGTGGAAAAGTAGCAAGACAAGGCACTTGACTTACAGAGGGTCCTTGTCCTTGCCCTCGGCAGGTGTCTCGGCAGGGGTCTCGGCCTCGATGTTGGAGAAGGAAGAGCTTAGCGACGCAGGCTTGGAGGAGCCTTCGGACTTGTCCTTGAGTTGAGGGGCGTAGATCAGGATGTAGAGCTTGGTAAGGGAGAGGTCGATGTTGCGGGGGATGTGGGAGAGGATGGACTGGAGTAGTACGGGATTATTAGTAACTGGACCATGGTTCTGTTTAGATCGACGAGGACTTACAGCATGTTCATGATACTCTTCGTCACCGGGTTCCACATGGTTATCGGCCGAGACTATGATGGCAACCTTTTTCCGGCGTTGGTTCTTGTTGGAGGTGGCAGTAGTAGTGGTGGTAGTTGTAGTAGCAGCGGGAGCGGGGACCGGGGCACTACTAGCGGTAGGCTGAACAGCGGGCGTATCATTTCTGGAAGGAGTAGCATTCTCAACCTGTTTTTTGGCATCCGGGTCGGACCACGTCTCGTCGTCAGCAAATTCGCTCCTCAGGCTGTCTTCCTCACGGATGGCGGAAAGGGCGGTACCCACAGCTGCGCCCGCTGCAGTCACGCCGGCGGCAACCTGTCGCTTCGCGCTGTTGAAGAAGTCGGCCGGACTCGGGGTGCGCCGGGGGCCCCATCCTCCTTCGGCCTGTTGTGCTTGGGCTGGTGGCTTCAGACGGCCTTCGCCAGTGGCTCCGTAGGGCGGGTTGTCACCGTAGTCGGCGTTCTCGTAGTCAAGTTCCTGGACGGTCGAGTTGGTGTCGTGTTCGCCGGTCCGGTCCTTGCGCTGGCTCCAGATCCATGCCGCAACACTGACGGTAGCAACGGCAGCCGTCACAACCAGCGGCACCCAGGTACCTAGAGGGCCATTACGGCGTCTGTTGTCGGACATGATAGCGATCGAAGTGGCGAAGACGACGTTCTTGTTCTATGTGTGTCGGACACGTTCTAGATGGCCGCTTTCATGGCAATGTCGTGTGTGCGTGAGCCGTGTCGAGCTGTCGGGTACCGAGAACCGTTTCGCTTTCTTCGTCTTTCGGTCACAACTCGCAGGCGTGCTTCCAGTCCAACAAACAGGAAGAAGATGAAGACGGAGGATGTTTGCGACAACACAACTGAAGTGAGGAGAAGTGTGTGTATGTAGGCGCGCAAAGATGGAAATGTTGTGGCTGGTCGCTAGTTGCCGAATGTAGCGGCCCACTGACAAACCATAGGGCGGAGTCTATCACATCAACCTAGTAACTGGGGAGAGAGGTAGGGGTCTTGGACTGGGTTTGTTGACTGACTGGGCTCCTGGGGAAGTGGATGCCTCTTTTCCAGCTGCACATGTCGAGCCAACGAGGGCAGTTGCAAGCGCCATGTCCGCCAAGCATCCAAAAGCGCACTTGACCACATTCGGACTGGCAGCGAAGATCAGTCAGGGCGTGTCTCTAGCAATGCGCTTGCTCGCACTCCCGTCGCTCTGCATTTGTCCGTCTGAACTGTAAGAGCGCACGGGCCACTTCCCCATGCCCCTCCATCAGTGATTGAGAGAGAGCTTTCGCTTTCTTCAGTGAGACTTTGCGATTGTGAGTCAAGAAATCGACATTATTTGAACAAGACAAGACATTCACCACATCTACCAAATATATCGACATCAAAGAAACAACACCACTTACGCGCTCTTCTATCACACGGCGCTGTTGTTTCTCCGTCGATTTAGATACCCGACATCAAAATACCGGTGTCACCTTGTTGTGCGCAAAATAATTCGACGTCAACATCCAAGTTCCTCTCAAAACATCTTCAAGATGCCCCACGCTGTAACTATCGCGACTCCGGGCCTCCAGGCCTTGATCCTCTGCGGTCCCGGCAGCTCGTTTCCCACTTTCACTGCCAACCCAGATGAGAACCCCAAGGCTCTCCTACCAATCGCCAACAGGCCCATGGTCTGGTATCCTCTCGACTTTTGCTACCGCGCAGGCATCACAAGTAGGTCATGTCTTTGTCGTCATTTTGGTGGTGTTTGAGTGAGATTGGATATCGGCATGTCTTGGTTGACGACATAATACTAACTCTACGCAGACATCACCCTCATCTGCCCCCCTACGGCCCAGCAAGCCATCCAAACCGCCCTCAACACAAACCCCTTCCTCACCAGCCTACCATACCCCAGGCCCGATCTCCTAGCACCCAAGGACCTCGACCAGAACACGGGCACAGCAGAGATTCTCCGTCTCCCCCAAGTCCAAGAAACAGTAACCTCCGACTTCCTCGTCCTTCCCTGCGACTTGGTATGCGAGCTCGGTGCCGACAAGCTCCTCCAAGCATGGATGGTCAAGTCTGCCAGTCTCACAGACCTCCTTGACGACACGCGGTCCGAGAATGTCCCTCCCAAGCGTAGCGGTGGTCTCGGCGTATGGTATCAGACCAAGACCGCCACCCCCATCAAGGGCGAGGAGACCGATTTCCTGGCCACTGTTCCTCTACCATCCTCTTCCGTCAGCCCTCCCAGAGGCTCGCTGTTCCCCAACATCTCCAAGGTCGTCTACTCAACACCTACCGACTCGTTGAAAGATCTCCTCGAAGAAGAGAAAGGCTTCCCCATACGCCACGCCCTTCTCAAGCAGCATCCCCGCGTGCGCATGCTGACCACCCACCGCGACGCTCACATTTACATCTTCCCCCACTGGATCATGGATTTCGTGAGGGAGAACGAACGCTTGGAGACCATTGGCGAGGATGTCCTAGGTTGGTGGGCCAAAGCCGGCTGGCAAAAGGGCCTCTCCAAGAAGCTCGGTCTCGACGCCATTCTCGGTCAGTCCAGCACCGCCGTCTCCAACACCGACGGCAAGACCTCCCCCGTCGGCTCCCACAGCCCCAAGGACTCCACCGTCAAGCACCCAACGGGCTCGCAAATCCACGATGCCATCTCCGCCTCCGGCACCACCAACCTCGAAGGCCCCGTCCGTCCCGTCATCCGCACCGGCGACAAGCCCGGTCACGAGGAGACCGAGTCCGCCAACGAGAAGCAGAACGACAGCACCATCCCGCCCATGCTCGCCTACATCCACCCTTCCTCCTCTACCGATTCTACTTCCACCCCCTTGATCCGCCGCGTCGACACCGCCCAGCTTCTTCTGCAAATCTCTCTGCAACTCGCCAAGCTGCCCTCGATTGAAGAAGTCGGTTCCGCCGAGGCTGCTTCGCCCTTCGCTCACACGCGCAAGGTCGCCTACCCGGAAGGCGTCAAGCCGCGCACAACCATCACCAAGCAGGACTCGCTGGTGGCGGACAATGTCACGGTCCAAGAGAAGACGAGCATCAAGGAGTGCGTCATTGGCGCCAACTGCCAGATTGGCGAGGGCGCCAAGTTGAGCCAGTGTCTGTTGATGGACGGTGTGGTGGTGGGCAAGAACTGTAAGCTGACCAAGTGCATCCTTGGTAAGCGCAGTGAGATGGGCGAGGGGTGCACGTTGACGGAGTGTGAGGTGCAGGAGAATTTGTTGGTTGAGGCTAAGAGTAGGTTTTTCTTCTTTTCTTCCCTTTTATTGTCCAATCTTGTTATGGAACAGGTACTGACCAATTACGAAAAACAGCGGAAACAAAGAACGAAAAGTTCATGTCCTCCTCCGGTCTCGAAGCTACAGAGGAGGATCTTGCCGAGGATGATGACGACGAGGAGAACGATGGCAACGGCAATGACGAGGACGGCGAGGATGAGGAGGATGATGAGTCGGCGGAGGAATAGGATATCCTTTCTGCTCCATCGACTCCGCAAACTCACCAGCACGGGCACCAGCACGAGTCGCAGCAGCACGCGCCGCAACAACACCAGCACCATGAGTTGCAGCAGCAGCAGACAAGGTCCAGAAAAGGAAGCTGGCTCAGTCGATTGTCGGGGTCAGGAGGAGGAGGAGATGAGTAGTCTATGTGTCGTCAAGTGGCATGTTTGGGATTGGTTGGTTGGTTGGTTGGTTGAATGCTTGTTTGAGTACACATACACATACCCTTTAGAAACGGTTCTAGGTTATCCAAAAGTTCTTTTTTTTTTTTTTTTTCCTCCATCCCAATCCCAGGAAACGTTGCCCGAGTGGGCGCTGAATTGCATTACATTGCTTTCGTTGCTACCATAGCATTCTTCGATCACAAAATGTCAGAACAAGGAAAAGGGATTGCTGTAGATCGATGAATCCAGAATTAAGTAGGGCTATCGACCTAGTTAGGCACTATTCTTCTATCGTTTGCGTGTCTAGTTGGTAGTCAGGTACCTGAGGTATACTTTGCAGAGAAACAATACAGCCGAAGTCTCTTACACAGCACCTATGTCTTTCTTGCGGAGGTACAGAAGTTCGTGGTTGGAATTCCAATACACCAACCAAGTCCTGATGTATCTATTGAGTGCTCTTAGTTTCCCATGTCTATAGCTATCGATGATCAGTTTGCCTCTAGGCTTCCTTAGTTACTCGCTAGAGGTAACCTTTGTAAGATTAAATGTACATTTCCAGAGACTCCCTACATTATCGTTGTAAATGAGATCTACCTCTCTCTGCCTAGACATTGCTACTAAGTACCTACGGGGTCAATCTTCCCTGTTACCTTAGTAGGTACCGATCCCCCCACCATTGGTAGCAGCAGCACATGTCAAGACCCTAATTGTTAACTTTTTTTTTCTTTTTCCTTTTTTCTTCTTCTCTAAACAATACCTACCTCTACGTACCTACATACGTAAACTCCCACAGCATCCCCCCCCCTTCTTTCACCTCCGTCCTCCTTAGTTAGGTAGCATCTAGCGAGCTCACCGCTCAATCTATTATACTTAGACACACAGTACCACAACCAGTTTCTGGAAGAGGTTACATCCATTCAGGCACGAGATATACCTGGTAGGTACTACCGTTACGGTATGTAGAGATAGATACCCGATAAGGCTCGGCTCGAGAAAAAGGGACGGGTTAGAAAAGGGAGGGAGGCCTCCCGGTACATACATGACACCTGCAGCTTCTTCAGTTGTCTTTCAGTATTGGTTATGTTGCTGTAGTGGTGGATCAGGTAGGTAAGGTGATGCACACGCAAGTTCGTAAATAGTTCTAGGTAGGTAGGTAGGTAGGTAGGTACCGACATGTTGTCCTATCCCAAATTTCCATGCAGTAAATCAAAGTGAATACCTATCTGAAGGTTGATAACCTCGTTTTGTCTCGAACAGGTCGAGCCATGCGTGATTGGTAAGAAAACTTACTGTATTTGGAGACATTATGATGATAAGTACGTACTCTTGAGGTGCTCTTGAGGTGTTATAGGGGACATCAAAGTATAGAGGTAGTTGGGGGTTATTTGGCTATCGACAGACACTAAGTCTACCTACCTACCTACTTACCTCCAGTACACCTCGAACTCAAATCTTGAACAAAATGAAAAGGACAGGACAGGTGGACCTGATACCTACCTACCTACCTCTAAAAAGAGGGAAAGCCGGGAGAAGAGAGAGGGCAGGGAGACCAAAGCCTTCCTTTCGTGGTTTTTATGGGGCAACACGGTACAACACAATACAAGACACACATAAACACAGAGACACAATACCAGTGGCACGCAAAAAGATGACCAAAGACTGTGCTATTGAAACAAATCATGCATGTCGTCGTGCACCATAACATAGAGGTAGGTATTTACAACTACGTATCAAAGTAACAGGGCACATAGTAAGTGGTACAAGGCGTGACAAGCAGGACAAGGCGGGAGGCCCAGCCTAGACGACTAAGCCCTAGCAGGGCTGGCTGGCTGGCTGGCTGGCTGGTTGCCAGTGTTTCCGATGATGCAGGTTATAGTGTAGGAGTAAAATATCTTGTGGGATCGATGGCATAATGAAACGAGAATACATACCACTAGTGTAGGGGTATTATATGTGGGAGGATGATGATGATGATGATGATGATGGGGGGAGGTTAGGTTTAGTATTATCTAGTGTATTCTAGTGCTCGGGGGGTTTGGAGTGTAGTGTAGGTGAAGTATAGATTTTATATAGAACCCCCCCTAATTAGAAAAAACATCAAACCAAAGAAAACAGCTTTAGAAAAAAAAAAAAAAAAACGCTAGAAGAACATGGGCTATGAATGACGTGCAGTGAGTATCCTCAAGTCTATGTATGGTGTGTGTGTTTGTCACTGACACTAGATGGGTGACTGACTAACTGGGGTGGCACCACCTACCTGGTCGAAAGAAGGAAGCGGTGATAAGTACTGGACCTGTGAGAATTCTTTCAGAGAGCACCACGCCGTCAAGTCGGTGGTTTTGCTTGGGTTA